CCGAGGGCGCGATCCGATGGGGGGCGCCTGATGGCGGCTGTAAGGGGCGCATGGTGCCCCTTATAGCTGCCATCAGACACCGCGCACCCAGCTGCAGTGGCCGCCCAGGGCGGGGGCTGCGTTAACCCCTTACAGCTGCCATCAGACACCGCGCACCCAGCTGCAGTGGCCGCCCAGGGCGGGAGCTGCGTTAACCCCCGCAGTGCCCTTCCCCCCGCGACCGTGGGGCCCTGCAGAGTAAGGCACGGCCCGCCCAGGTGGCATGCCAGCAGCCGTGGCCAGGCAGTGCATACTCCATGCGCCCGGAGGCAGGCCCGCACACCCCGGGGAAGGCTCACACATGTGCCATGAACCCAGAGGCAGGCCTGCACACTTCGGAGGCAGGCTCGCACATGCGACATGAACCCAGAGGTTGGCCCGCACTCCCCAGGACGGGGGGTAAGACACAGGTTCAACAATGCACCCTGGGGGCGGGCCTGCGCATGCACCGTGCACCCGGGGTGGCGCCGCCTACCCGGGGCGCCAAAAAGGGCCAGCCCTGATCTGAGCCTATCATACACTGGAACCCCTTGCCCTGAGCCACTCACATACCCCAAACCAAATTCCTGCACCCTCACATCCACAAGCCCGTGGCTTGCTTAGTACCCCAATACTCCCCAGCATGGTGCCCCCTCCCTGAGCCAGCATCCCCTTCTCCACTTCCTCCTTCATCCAAATTTCCTCCCAGAGCTTGCATCTCTCACCTCTTCCCATACCCAAATCCCTCATTCCTACCCCAGAGCCCACATATCCCGTCTCAACTCAGTGAGGGTACAGCTAGACTGCAGGAGTTTTTCCAGGATTCCGGAGATATCCCGGAAAAACTCTTCCACATCCAGGGATGCATTTGTTCTTCTGTTTTTATAGTGGAAGAGCAAACACTTTCGGTAACCCTTATATTCCTCATTTCACGAGGAATAAGGGAGCTTCCAAAAGAAGGGGTTTTTCTGACAATTGGTTCAGTCTAGACAGGCCAAATGTTGGGAAAACCTCTTCCTATAGAAGAATCAGGAAAAAAAGTGGCAGTGTAGAGTGTTCAAGGGCTGGGGATTGCAAGGGAATGAGGAGGAGAATAGAGAGGGTGGGGCCTTGGGTGAAGGATGGGGCAGAAGATCTTCACTTGTTCTGAGATTTAAAAAGTGATCTTGGGTGTAAAAAAGTTGGAGACCACTGATGTAGATGGTATCAAGAGTCTTCCTGGGCACAGACCAATTCCACAAGCCAAATACACAGAGAAGGGTTGGAACTTAACTTCATTCACAAGTTTAATTCTCATGCAAATGGTATGAGCCAGGATATCAGATGGGGATGGCTCACACATTATCTTCCACATCTTAATGAACAAACAATGAAGGAGCTAACGGTTCTTGCTGTGGATGATAATGTGAGAGCCATCATCACATCCTTGGTGAAAGACCTCTGAACTTCTTAGAAAAAAGAAATACTAGACATACAGAAAAATTAAATTCTACCATCTTTCATCCAAGATCTCAAATATCTTTACAAATGGTAAGATATAAGGGTTGAGTCCAAAATAGGGATGTTTAATAGTGGTTAGCAAGGTAATCAAATAGTCGTATTAAACAGAACATTATCGTCTCGAATGCTTTTGGGAATTGGCTTTTTCCCGGATTTTTTTTTTTTTTTTTTTTTGGACACACAAAAAGATGAGGCAAATGTGTTTTACTAGCAATGGAGAATCCAGGATTTTAATACAGAAAGTCACAAATATTTGCAAATTCCTTCTGACTATCCACATGACCTCAAAACTTCATTGAAATCAATTGGGTACAACTCCATTGCAATCAACGGAGTCACATCTACTTGCAACAGTAGTGAATTTGGTTTTTACATACATTTAGTTTCAAAATGTAGAACAAACAGATTACACATTATTCCTATAAAAAAAGCCACTGGAGCTTCCTCTGAAGTAAACAAGTTGAAAGTCCAGGTTCCTTGGCATTGCTCTGTGTTCTGATTTACAAAGCCACTTATACCATATATTTAAATATGATTCTCATGTCAGCTGATACCACAGCAGGATTCTTCAATTAAAATTCTCCTCCCCTTCTCTTTGTTGCATAGGATAAATATTCTAAAATTATGGGTGTCTCCTTATCCTTCATTCTTTACAAATGCTTACTGTTTAAAAAATTGCAGGGAAGAGAGTCTTGATCACAACACTGCCATTACTTTAAAGCAGTGTTTCCCAATTGGTGCTCTGTGGAACCCCGGGGTTCCGCGAAGCAAAAGGGTTCCGCGAAAATGCGGCATTGCCCCGCCTTCTCTTAAAGAGACAGTATTTTGCAGGTTTTCTTCATCAACCAATTATTTTAAGCTGAAAAGGGTTCTGTGGCCAAATAAAATTGGGAAACACTGCTTTAAAGACTAACAAGATGGTTTATTAGGTGATGAGCTTTTGTGGGCCAGACCCACTTCCTCAGATCAAATAGTGGAAGAAAATTGGCATCACCATATATACCAAAGGATACAATCAAAAAAATGAACACACATGAAAAGGACAAATCAAATTTTCTTAATGGATTGTTCACTTTCAGTCCTTTGGGTACGATGTCCATCTTCTTGCACTTGATTTGTCCTTTTCATGTGTTCCTTTTTTTGATTGTATCCTTTGGTATATATGGTCATGCCAATTTTCTTCCACTATTTGATCTGAGGAAGTGGGTCTGGCCCACGAAAGCTCATCACCTACTAAACCATTTTGTTAGTCTTTAAAGTGCTACATAATCCTGTTTTTTTGTTTCAGCTAGACCAGACTAACACGGCTACATTTCTATCTTACAAACTCAAGAATGAGGGAGCAAATGTTGACAAACGCGGAGTCTGGCCTTGTATTTCCCATTTTGGGAAACTTGGAACTTTAAATTGATCATAATAAAGGATTATTATTTATTCTACAATAGTACCCCAAAACAAGCAAGCAGCTGTACAGACATACAGGAAAAGATCATCCTTGTCCCCCCCAAAAAAATCTTTAATGTAAGAATTTGTCAGGATGACAATTTGTATCTTCTAAAAACAGTGAAACTTACCTCACAGTCTGTTGACAGACCTACTAAACCACTGTTACTGACAAGGCACATTTATTGTATTAATACTTTGCATTTCCATACCACTTGAAGTTCTGAAAGGATTTTACAAATAAAATTTCTCACCATTTTACTAAAAGGGGTACTTAGGTAGGTGGAATATAAATGACTTGCTGAATGTCCTTCCAAATATAGAATAATAAATTAATGACAATATGCAGGAAGACTCCTTCACCTAGCCACCCACCAAGTAACCTGGAGCATTCTCTTAGGTTTAAAGCTCAGCAACATACAAGCCTGAACACAGAGTATGACGTAACAAAGTAAATAGCTTGCTATGACCCAACATATAAAAGTGATCTGATCCCAACATATAAAAGTGATCTGCCCATTTTACCACCACAAGTCCAGTTAACCCCTCCCCCCTTGACACACACAAGTTTTTATATACTCTCAGAAGGTCCAGACACCAAAACTAAGTCTTTTACAGCTGCAGTAAATGTATTTTCATTTGTCATTGTGCTACACAGTTTTAAAATCATTTAAAATGCAAGTTCTGGATTTCTGCTTGCAGTAAATGCAGACCAGGACAACTTTTTTGTCTTTTGCTATTAGATGAATGCTTTATCATTTGAGGAGCCATTATTTAAATTGAGATAATCAATCTATGGAGATGTATTTTTCAAGAGCCATGGGTGTCCAGACTCTTACATAATGCAGTACAAATTAGACCAAATAACCCTCTTTCTCTGCCTCTTCCCCTCACTGGTGCTTAAATTATGTCAAAAAAGCTACCAGTAATCAACTGGTCTCCACGTCCCCAGGGGCAGGCTCAGACGCTTCGATGGCAGCAGGCAGGTTTAGGCTAGACAGTAGGGACAGTTTTCTAAGCACACGGAGAGCGGGACCCCGGGACAGGCAGGCAGGGGTTTGGCAACAGGTCGGACAGCACCCGGCAGAGCCCGGGGTGCGCTGGATTCACTTGGGCCCGGGCCAGCCCAGGAGGAGGGCTGCGCGCCCGAGTCCCGCCCCCCACCGCCGCGCAGGCCGTGACCTGGGACACC